CCCTTCCTAAAGGAAAGCGTTTCCCTGTTCCCGGGCGGAGCAGGGGGAGGCAGCGGCTTCGCTGACAAACGCGGCAGTGCCGGGGGAGGGGGCGCACGCCAAAACGTGCGGGGGAGAAAAAAAAAAATGAAACCGAGCTGCAAACGCGCCGGGAAGAAAAGTGCTTCAGAACGTGCTCCTGAATTATTTATTAAGTCGCTGACAGAGTCAGAAATAAGATTTATTTTTTATTTCACAGGTATAGAGCACAGCCAGGATTTTCCAGCGCACCAATCGCAAAAGAAGAATTAAAATCCGTGGGAAACTTTGATGAGACGACCCACCTCCCCCCGCGCTCGGGAAAAGGGAGCCGGCGGGACACCAGGGGGCAAAGCTGCGGCTCCTTTTTAGTCGCGCTCAAGACCAGAGCTCACAGCAGCAACGCGCTGTTTTTAAGCCTTAAAGAACCAAGGGTCGCTCCGCGCATCGGCCCCTACCCGAGAGCCCTCCCCGCTTAAAAACTAAGTAGCTGCGTTTGAGCTACCGAAAAACCCCCAGTACTGAACTTTTGTGGCGACATGCGAGGGAGCAGGCTACTTACGGACCTCCCGGGCAAACCAGTAACTCGGCCCTTTTACTTGAAAAAATTGGTGGCTCTTAAAAGAGCCTTTGGGTTAAAACTTGGCGAGGCGCCGAGACGCTCTACTTGGAGCTGGTGTACTTGGTGACGGCCTTGGTGCCCTCGGAGACGGCGTGCTTGGCCAGCTCGCCGGGCAGCAGGAGCCGCACGGCCGTCTGGATCTCCCGCGAGGTGATGGTGGAGCGCTTGTTGTAGTGCGCCAGGCGCGAGGCCTCGCCGGCGATGCGCTCGAAGATGTCGTTCACGAAGGAGTTCATGATGCCCATGGCCTTGGACGAGATGCCCGTGTCGGGGTGCACCTGCTTCAGCACCTTGTACACGTAGATGGAGTAGCTCTCCTTGCGGCTCTTCTTGCGCTTCTTGTCGCCCTTCTTCTGCGTCTTGGTGACGGCTTTCTTGGAGCCCTTCTTGGGCGGCTGACCGCCCCGCCACCGACCTTTTTATGGGAGAGCGCCGCCAGTGACGCCGCTTCTCGTACGAACGGCTTTGTAATTGGTCCGTTCTAAATCCCACCCTACTATTGGTTAATAATTCTAGCCCTATCAGCCAATCACAACCAGCCCTTTCAATCGCTCAGCTCTGTCGCGAAGCTCGTCCTCTGCTGCCTGGCCCCGCCCCGCCCCGCCCGCGGCTCACCCCGCAGCTTCCCGGCTCCCCGCCCCCCCGCCGCCGCCTCCCCCCGCAAACATGGGACTTATGGTGGTAATTTCCAGTTTTTTAAAAAAAAAAAAAAAAAAAAAGGAGAGAGAAAATTGCAAGGGCCTTTGCTACTCTTTTTATCCTTCAGACAGCTATACTCGCATACTGCATGTAATAGCCTGCATTTGTAATAACCATGAGTTACACGTAAAAGCAGAAAAGACATAAGGCTCTGGAATACCAAGCTTCTTCATTAGTTGTCTTTGAAATTAATTTTTCTGGCCCACAGAACATGGCTTGCTTTTTAGGAATCGAGATGTATGTTCTGATTTAATGTGCGAATTGAAAGGATGTGGACTTCTTCTGGGATGGTGTAAATATTGGATGAATTTGTTTAAGTGGAGGCAAGATATTCCTGGTAATAAAAAGGAACTGTGGATTTAAAATCAAATTTTGAATTTACTGTGAATCAGAAATTCTGGCTGTTTTCCTGTTAAGCTGACTTAATTGTTCAAGAAGAAAATACAACTGTTTAAACAGTCTAACATGATTTAACATTATTAATAATTCTGACATAGTTTTGTTGTTATTTAAAAAATATGATAGAGGAAGTGGTCTTTAATATACATTAACCTGTATGTTTAGAAAAGGGGTAATCATGATTTTTTAAAAAATTAATATTCTCTATGGTCACATACATTGCAATTATAAATTCATCCATTGGTAAATGAGAACACTATGATCAAAAGGGATCAAATGAATCTGTGGCTGAATGACATTAGGACTGGATAACTTGGTGTCATATAGCCAGTGCTATAATGATGCTATTTCCTTTTGGAACCCTTAAGGGCTATTCAAAGTTTAGACTTTGTTGGTATCAGAGGAGATAGATGGCATGGGCCTACACAAGAAAGCCACCTGGCACAGGTAAATGTTGCTTAAGATAGGTAAGACTGCTAAAATCACAACAAAACTAATTGTTCAATGGGATTTTTAAGGGGGGAGAGAGAGATTCTGGATACTGGTGCAAGCAATAGAAAGATCCATCACCGCACCAGGCTGGTTTTGCTTCTGCTTTTTTTTTTTTTGCTTTTACCCCACTGGGCAGAATTCTGGATGCACACATATTTCCAGCCTACTTCCAAAATACTGCTGTCTGAGGAAAGAGCCATACGAGGGAAGAGTAGGACCTTTCTCCTTCCCAGTGAGTATGGATTGCTTGCAAGTGCTTCTGCTGTGCTTAACACCTAAACTGGGGGGACAAAAGCAGCCACCCATGTTGAGAAGAGCAGCTTCATGCTGCCGCCCTCTCTGCTGCTGTGGCTCTCTGGTGAAGTCCACTCTGGTTAAGTCTGGACATTAAGTCCACCCCCACCCCCTGCTCCATCTCATCTGGACCAGGGATGGGATAGGTGCTTATCCCTCTCCATTCACTCTGCTTCCCCCACAGCTGCCTGTAGCAGCTCACTCAGCTTGGAGAAAACCTGGTAAGGCAGGAGGGAGCTGGATCTGCCTTTTCAAGAGAAGAAAAGTAGTTCTCTCTCTTTCAGCAATGGAAGAAGAGAAGCCAGAGTGGCCCATCTCTAAACATTTAACTCCTCACATATGCTGTGAACCTGATGACTTTCTTTTGGCATAAATGTTACCTGGAAAAGCAGTTCACTGCGAACACCTCTGTCTGGTAACAGGAGTTCTCCTGAAGATTGGCAAAGGTCTTGACATGCCACTCCGGGACAATGTAGCGAAGGATCTCCAGTTTTGTCTCCACAATCGCAGACGAAGGCTGTTGCTCTTTTTACATTGCTCTGAAAGACATAATGTAGAATAACAGAGGGCAATCTCAGCAATGTAAAGTGCATAGGTCCAAAAAGCAGAGGCATTAAAACCAAAAGAACACACACACCCCCAAAAAAACCCTGCTTCTGCACTCTCTTTGCCCCTCCCCCCATGTTAAACCTTTTAAGTCTGTTGATCAGTTCCAACAAAAATGACAGTTGATCCAGGTCACAGACATTCCCAGTTCTAACAAGTTTTGTAAAGATCAGCTATGGAGTAGAAAGAAATCCAGGTTAGAGCCTCCACCGAGGAAAGGCGGCTACTGTGAACTGAACAACCACTGCTTGGTTTTTGCCTTCCAGCTAAAAAATCTGTTAAACAAACAAACAAGAAAACCCAAACCTAAAGAACAACAGCTAAATAATAACTGAAGGTGAGTTATTTCTGGTGTAGTGTGGTTGTGCGTGCTGCCCCTTTGCAAGGATGCACAACTGGAGACTGCTGAAGGCAATGTAATTGGGGAGGGGAGTAAGGAGAGGCTTAGAAGATATTTATAAGGGTAAGTCAAGTTCTTGGAAAGAACTGATTGTGGAAACTTTAACGATGACAGAAGAGCTGAATTTATTGCACTGTTTAGATAAAAGCTGCGTTTATTGCACTATTTAGGTAGGATATATGGAAAAGGAGCCTAGACATTCGTATTTCTCTCGACAGTCTAAAACACCCATATTCATTAAAGGAAATGGATGGGAACTTGTTCCCCATCCCACTGCAATAACAATGGAGTTGCCTGTGACCGACCAACATTTTGGAGCCTCCAAATGAAATAATCCTTCAGAGTCAGGAAACCTAAGTCTGATGGGAGGGAACAGAGAAAAGGCTTCAAGAACAGCTCCAGAACAACTCAAGGATGTCAGGGTTTGAAGGAGTCACCAGCCTCTTGCCAAAGAGTACGAACTGTGGGATTCTGTATTTTTCCCTTGGTTGGTGCATTTCATCCAGGTGAACACCTTGTGCTGCAGGCTCTCAGCTTTCTCCTGTACAGGTAACTGCCCCAGCTGGAAGTTTCTAGGAGGCAATGGGAAGACATAAACGGAAACCTGCTGTTAGTGTTTCGCCACTACAGCTCTTTGGTGAGCTCTGCATAGATTTTTCTGTGAAGTGCTCTTTTTTATTCTGAAATCTCAAGTCAGAAAGATAATCCTTTTCTGTCTGTGCTTACTGCCTAAATGGGCTTCGAGAAAAAAAGAAAAAGAATTATTGAGTAGTATCTTGGCTCTAATTATCCAACCTTCTGCAGCCTCTTCAACTAGAAATGCTGGAGGACCACTTATCTGATGAGGGAAAGACAGACACCCGTGTATTATCTTGGACTTCCAGAGTACACCTTGGCAATGCCAAAAGCTCCTGAAAAGCAAACAACCAACCAACATTAACCAAAGCAAAGAAGAGGAGACAAAAAGATAAGACTTTTAAGAGTAGTAGGATAAGCGTTGGAGATTTAGGTAAGTTACGTTTAGAAACCAAATATTGGTCTGGTGTATTCCACTGGGGTAATACAGTGAAAAGAACCAAGGAGAAGTCCCATGAAAAGTTACAGAACAACGAGGTCATCAACAGAAGGCGCTTAGCACATAACATCAGGGGCTATTACAAAAATAGTGATGATGGGCACAGCTATCAAACAGTTATGATTATTTTGGAAAATTTCTGAACTGCAGGGTGCACCCTAGAATCACATTTGAGAAGTCCACTTTTAAGGTTATGGGTAGCTACAGTAGACCTTTTAGTCGTCAAGACTGAAATATTAAACATAATTGTGTAATATGCTACATGCCTTGCCATCTATCGCTGCAAGTTTTCTACCTTTGTAAATTGCTGTCACTATCATCTGAAGACCTTGTAACTACTTAGAAAAACAGTAAACATATGGGTCACATTTCTATAGCATAAAATAACTGAACTTAAAAGCCACAGGATGCAAGTCAAGGGTAAAGGGGGGCGAAGAAGTTGCCATGCATTTTCTGAAATAAATGATGTTTGGAAAATTGAGATTTCTAAGGGTGATTAAGACAAGTCAACTTACTAAAATGATGTTTTCTTCCCTCTGAGTGCAGAGACCAACAAATTATAAAAATATTATGTTATGTGCCCAAAAACTATGAGAAGAAAAAAATAGCAACAGGAACACTTTTAGGTATTATGTATCTAAAAAGTAAGACCATGAAAATGAGAAGCACATGCCAAATCTTTAAAAGCATCTGAAGCAATCTGTATTTTTTTATGGGTACATTAACAAGATAAATCAGTTCCTTCATCAGCACCTCAGTCCTGTAAACACAAAAAAGCCACGTGACTGAGCAGTTTAAGACACCTGGGACGAGCAACTGAACTACCACCCCACGAAAAAAGGAACATTTCATCCGCACGGAAATAAAACGAAGCAGATTAATAACGTTACTCAACATTCATTAAAAACCGATAGATTTATTCGAGCACAGAGACTGCCAGGCCCGCCTGAATTTCCCTCCCCCCCCGCTCCTTCAAAGGCACCCCAGCCCTTTGTTGGAGCGGAGCGAAATGGCGGCGGCAGCGCGCGGGCGGGGCGG